GCACACATATGTTTTGCCCCGTAAGAGGGAAACGACACCACCAAATAAAAGACAAAGATCAGATAAGCGAGGACGGGACAAAACGCGAGTGAATATCAGCGTTGCTTATTCCAGGTGGAAAGAACTCGTGAAGGAGGAGGATTTCACAAGAGATGCGGAGGTTGCCTGCTTTCTGCTAGACAGGTAATTCAATCTGATATTTTAAAATCATTTTGGCTTCATGTTTGCAACTACTTTTCCCTCTCGTCTAAGTTCAAGTGACGGCTACGTTTATGTTTACGTGCTAATGTTATCCTAGCCTTGGCTAACGTTATCCCAGAGCTACAGCTAAATGGTTAGCCTAGCCTACAGCCTAATCTGTTGATTCCTCTGGCGCTGCTGCGAAGGCTGACCCTCTCCTCCTCTTCCCTCTGGGGAGCCGAGACACACCTCTTCGCCTGGCTGTTCCTGCACCGCCTCTACTCCCTCACCCCCTTCTTCTCCCTGGTCTTCCTCCTCTCCCTCCTCCTCATCTCCCTGTGTCCTGTGGAAGAACACTCTGGAAACGCATATATTATAATCGTACCAACCTATATTTGCCGCACTGTGCCGTGACTATCACATAAAATGTGTTATTTTAGCATTACTGTGCTAATGTTTGCTCGTGTTACCAAAACAATTAGAAATAAAACACTCCTAACCTATATCTCACTGGTAAGCTATAACATATCATAACATGGTTTAGATTCCTAAATAAATATTCACCTCGTCGCTAGATACTCCTGAAAAACTCGAAAAAATCCACTGTCTGCGCAAGGCTTTTTGTCCTACGAGGCCACCATCACTTATCCGACGGGAGGGGTGAGTGAGTGAGCTCTGCAATCTAGAATTTGACCGCTGATGTCACTGTTACTCACCATTTTTACACACTGAGGCTTTAACAAATGTAATAGTTTATTATAGTCTATTTGGAATAAGCATATAATTTTGTTATAGATGCTGTTGATGTTTTTTTTTTTTTACAAATAAAGAAAAACACATGATGAAGATGGGTTTGCCTTTTTCAAGGGCATATATATAGCAAACAGCACTGTTTTGAATGTTTGTTTTTGAGTTTGTTTTTGAATATTTCCAAGTTGGCAATCACTCATAAAGGCCAATGCACCACCCAGCACATTGTTTGAGGGCCCACCCCCACATCATGGGCCCCAGTGCAGCGGCACTGCCTGCACTGTCTATATTTACGCCCCTGACCTTGGACTTTTCTAAATATTCAGCATAGCGTAAGTTCAGGCATGGCACGATGTCAGACTCTGCTCACATCCAAAGCTACTGCTCTAGGCTTTCCTCATATGCACGTGGAAGGGCAGAGAGGTGTGCTCTCCTTGCCTCAGGCTTTCCTCGTATGCACGCGGAAGGGCAGAGGGGCCCCAGAAGAGAGCCATATCACCAAATATCAAATTGCAATGGAAATAAAGTTTTCTTTTGACTAAAGTGACTGACATGTACATTTTATTGCAGTTTAACAGTTTTCACACAAAAATAACCCATAAACATACAGTATATAATAGTGATTACTAAATATCAATCTTACAAAGCACAAACCTGTCTTAGTCTATAATATGAAGCCTGGAGCCTATCCCAGTTACTGTACACTGTGGACAGGTTGCCAGACGATCAAAGTTCTGCCCAAAATATGAACATTATTCTTCAATTTATACATATGTGTACACACACATACCTATTAGCAAATATGTTTTTATTAACATATTAATACATGCATATAAAGACACATCTCAGGTCTCTAACATGACACTATTCAAAGAAAGAAAACATTCATGGATAGTGTTAGCCAGAATATAGTGCATGCTGTGAAGTATTATCTGATCATCTTTAACAATGTTTCTAAAGATACTAAATTCAGTTTTTTGAGAAATGTTTAATCTGTGATGAATCTGGAGCCGACCTGATGGGAAAATGACAGATTAATCTAAAGACAGTGATGTAATGAGAGATAATCAAGTGGTTTTACAGTGTGCTATCACTTTAGAGATTAGAGCTCAGGCCTTATGATAATGATGCATTATTTACAGCACTTCATGTGAGGCCCAGATGGAGAGGAGAGGGAAAGACGAGGAGGAGGAGGAGAGGATGATGATGATGCTGCAGGCTCTATCTCTCCTCTTGAGTCTCTTTTATGTTGTTACCACAAAGACCACACATCGTAGAGACATCGTCTGTCAGTCTTACATGGCCGTCTATGGGTGTGAGAAGCTCAGGATCTTGACGCTGGAGACCAGGTTTATGTTGCACGATATGTTTTAGGGCTGTGAGTTCCAGTAAAAAATATTCACGTCAGTAATAGTTACCACGAGCTGATGTCTTAGGTAAACAACTGAAACATTAGGCAAAGTGTTAGGCACGTGGAAGGGCAGGGAGGTGTGCTCTCCCTGCCTGCGATAGATAGCTTCACTTCTCCAGCACTCCTCCCCATTTCTCACTTGATTTCCACTTTTCCATCCTCACCTCTCTCCTTTCCCTCCACTCTGTGTTTGTCAACCCCCCCCCCCCACCTCACTTACTTTCTACGTCTCCCTCCCTCTGGGTATCATCTTCGGCGTCTACTTTCTTTCTTTTCTGTCACTCCTTTCCTCTTTTCTATCTATTATTCTCCTTCTGCTTCTCTCTCCTTATTTCTTTCTCACCCTGGTATCTTTTTTTTTCATCCCGCAGTTCCAGTGGCAGATCTGCCAGCACTTCTCTAAATACAGTGGAGAAAATAGAGAGATGCCCTGAGGAGAGACTTAACATATCAGCTCATATTTACACACAGTCACAGCTGTCTGGTGGCATTTCACCACAGCGGTTTTAATAAAACATTAGGAGCACAGGAAGGAAATTTCAGAATATTTTTGAAAGTCAAACTAAAATAATGTTGATTTTCCGCATTTTTCCATCAGCAGAATATATAGAGTGGGGGAAAAGTTTTTATCCTCATAAACATCTCGGAGACACGCAGCACGAGCTGAGTCACATTGACGGCTCCTACTGTCTGCAGTCATTTACACACCGACACAGCTTCTATGAGCAAAACATCTCCGATTTTTACATCAGCCGTCAAACCAATAAGAAATGTTCACCTGTTTCATCATATTTTCTATCAGCCTTTATGTGCAGAACCTTATACACCAGTCTCTTCACAAAGCAAAGGAAACCTCATGTGTCAGTGTAGGAGTCAGGGACATTTGATATGCAAGACTCCAGTATTTACAACTAAACAGAATTAAAGTCCTCAAGGTTGCTTATATGACATGTTGTAGGATGCATCATATTCATGCACCTCCACTGAAACACACGTTTGTGTCAATCAAAACATATGCAAAGACCTGCTCCTGTGCTTGGTAGATAACGTCATTTAATTGATACACTGCTCAAAAACATTAAGGCACACTTCAATCACACATCAGATCTTGATGAACGAATTATTCAAGTTGAAAATTTTTACTGATGTACATTGTATAATTTGTTGAGAACAAAATGCGGTCAGTGGAAACAAAAACCCACTCAACCCACTGAGGGCTGGATTCAAAATCAAACCGAAAATCAAAGTAAAAAAATGAAATCACAGCTGATCCAACTTGTGTGTACTTCAGTAGTGTGTATAGCACCCACGTGCCTGTATACACTCCTGCCAACATCTGAGCATGCTCCTGATGGGTCAGTGGATGGTGTCCTGGGGGATCTCCTACCAGACCTGGATCAGGGCATCAGTGAGCTCCTGGACAGTCTGTGGTGGCACTTGGCGGCGTTGGATGCACCGATACATAACGTCCCATAGGTGCTCAATTGGATTTAGGTCAGGAGAACGAGAGGGCCAGGCATCAGTGCCTTCATCATCCAGGAACTGCCTACACACTCTGGACACATGAGGCCGGGCAATGTGCTGCACCAGGAGGAACCCAGGGCCCGAGTTTTTCATTCCAATACCAGCAGTCAGGGTACTGTTGGCTCTAACATGGAGGTCTGTGTGACCCTCCAAGGATCTGCCTCCCCAGACCATCACTGACCAACCACTAAACCGGTCATGCTGGATGATGTCACAGGAAGCATAACATTCACTATGGCGTCTCCAGACTCTTTCACGCCTGTCATATGTGCTCGTGGTGTTCTCTAACGAATGCCAATGGAGCTGCACGGTGCTGGGCTGTGAGCACAGGTCCCACTAGAGGATGTGGGGCCTTCATGCCACCCTCATTCACTAGCAGGAGACCAAACTAGAGAAGAATCAGTCAGGAAGGATAAGGAGAGAGCAGCTGTCTGTGGACACCACATGTAAAACCATTCCCTTTTTGGGGATTGTCTAGCTTTTGCCTCTCCATTGCACCTGTTGTCACTTTGATTTGCACCAAAGCAGCTGAAACTGATTCACAGTCACTTGTGCTTCCAACATGGACGGATTTATACTACATTTTATTATTAATACAGACAAACACTGAGTACTATTACATAATCGTACCATCAGCCGGTGTATGCTGTTAATATAGACTTGCTACTCTGCTGCAGAGTCTACTACATTAAGTACGCTGCTGTTAGATTCTGCTGCAGATTTTATCTCCATATTGTCTCTGTTTGATTCTTTCTTTTATTTTTGTTTAGTTTTTTTTACGTGCCACTTATCATTTATTTCTTTCACTTTTTCTATTTATCTGTACTAATTCTGTCTGTCAGCTGAATCTTCCCGCTGGGGATCAATAAAAGTTTGTGTTATCTCATCTTAATGGAGTTTATATTGAGCCAATAAAGGCTAAACTGCTGTAAGACGAGCCTCGCTGCACGGCTCAGCAGCAGACTGGTGTTACAGTAGTGGTGTGTTTTTCAGCTTGGGTGACTTACTGTGACTCGGCAGATTAGGGTCCTGAGTTTGGAAATGTTTCTTAACTGAGAAAGTGATGATACAGGTGGTTTTACAAGATGTGAGAAAAATCTGATGATCTTATCCTTGCATGTCTCTTCCTCGGCAGATGTATGTGACGTGCACGGTGCAGGCGAAGGGCACTCGTCTGGCCAAGCCGGTGCTGTCTCTCGGGCTCATGTGTCTGGCCTTTCTCACCGGTCTGAACCGTGTGGCTGAATACCGCAACCACTGGTCGGACGTCATCGCTGGCTTCATCATAGGCACTGCCATCGCCACTTTCCTGGTGAGACTCACACCTACAGAGGTCATATATGCTGTTGTATGTTTGAGGTGTGTGATTGGAGACATAGTGACATGTATGGAGCTTACCACATGTACTTTGTACACATACAGACATAAACTCATTCTACTTCAGATCCCTTCCTGTCCTTTTAGACTTTTAATAGGGGTGCAAAAATGTATTCACTTAAGAATCAACCATTTTTTATCTTCAGTGTTTATGACTCACACTTTGGTAAGTCGTGAAATACATGTTCGCCGAGCGACACACAGTGCTGTCCCAGATGTAAATGCTGAAATGAAAACAAATCAAACAAAGCAAAGTGAAGCACGTCACACATTGTTATATCATGTCCTTCTCATTTGTGCATTTGACTGTGTCACTGTTCCACAGTAAAGTCACAGCACAGCAGTGAGCTGGGCTGTTGCAGTCAGACCTTGTAGAAAGCTTTGCTGCTGCTGCTGAGCGGTCAGTAAATCCCTCCCAGCTGTTAGACTGTCGCCTCGTTACACCACAATGCCTCATTTTCTGTTTCTACACATGTGAAATACAAAAAAAGGATTTGAAGTTTGGCTAAGAAACAAAAGTATTCCAGTGAGTAATGTAACACACAATTTTTGCTGCAGTTCTGAGGAATAAATAGGGCTGCAAATAATGATTATTTTCATTATCAATTAATCCACTGATTATTATAACTGTGCCGGTGACAGTCGTGGCCAGAGGCATCATGTTTTCGGGTTGTATGAATCATTCATTTGATGTAGCTCCAACAGACAGCACATCAGAGAATTACGGCACTCCAGGATTATAGCACCCAGCATACCGACACAACACCACTTTATCCTTTAAAACACAACTCACAACTTAGATTAATTTTTATGAAAAACATAAATAGAAAGCTTTGTTTTCTGGTTTTCTCTTCACCACGACGACGATTCATCTTACGCCCCATTTTACCCTCACGTGTGACCCTGAGATACTTGAACTCCCTTGTTTGGGGCAGTAACTCACTCCCAACCTGGAGGGGGCAATCCACTGTTTTCCGGCAAAAAAACGTGGCCCCAGATTTGGAGGTGCTGACCTCCACCTCCTCTGACACCTGTTACGCCGAAAATGGAGGCAGACCCAATACGCATGAATGCTCCTAAATTATAAGCTTTTATATGACAAAGCTATTACGACAATATTGTTATGATAAACCATAAACCATAAAACAAACAAAGCTATTACGACAATATTGTTATGATAAACCATAAACCATAAAACAAACAAAGCTATTACGACAATATTGTTATGATAAACCATAAAACAGAGCTCAACGGGCCTGTATTTGGGACAGGCCTTTAATTCCTTTGACGCAAAACTGTTGCTCAGCAAAGATCAGAAAATGCAATGTCCCATGCTTGTTTACATGAAATCTCAAGAACACCTCAAGGAAATTTCTTCAAATTAAGCACAAATGTTTATTTGGACTCAACAATGAACTGAATAGTTTTTGGTGAATAAAAGTCAAAGGTCACTATGACTTTGTCCATCTCATTCTCGTGAATGCAGTATGTCAAGTAACGCATGGAGGGATTTTTTTTTTTTTTAATTTGGCACAAACATCCACTTGGACTTGGGGATGTACTGATTAGATTTTGGTGGTCATGGGTCAAAGGTCAAGGTTGCTGTGACCTTTCATGCATCTAATTTTCATGAACACAATGTCTCAAGAACAGTTAAAAGGGAATTTCTTCAAATTTGGCACAAACATCCACTTGGACTTGGGGATATACTGATTAGATTTTGTGAAGGGATTCTGTTCAAATTTGGCACAAATGTTTATTTGGACTCAACAATGAACTCAATAGTTTTTGGTGAATAAAGGTCAAGGTCACTATGACTTTGTCCGTCTCACTCTCGTGAATGCAGTATCTCAAGTAACACATGGAGGGATTTTATTTTATTTTATTTTATTTTTTTTTTCAAATTTGGCACAAATGTCCACTTGGACTTAGGGATGTAGGCTACTGATTAGATTTTGGTGGTCATGGGTCAAGGTTGCTGTGACCTTCCATGCATCATATTTTCATGAACACAATGTCTCAAGAACAGTTAAAAGGGAATTTCTTCAAATTTGACACAAACACTCACTTTGATGATGTGTTGAACAGATTAGATTTCGGTGGTCAGAGGTCAAGTCTTTCTGACCTCATCTGTCTCATTTTGTGAACGTCATATCTCAAGAACACCTTGAGGGATTCTGTCCAAATTTGACACAAATGTTCACTTGGTCTCAACAGTGAACTGAATAGTTTTTTGGTGAATAAAAGTCAAAGGTCACTATGACTTTGTCCATCTCATTCTCATGAATGCAATATCTCAAGTAACGCATGGAGGGATTTATTTTTTTTATTTTTTTTTTTTCAAATTTGGCACAAACGTCCACTTGGACTTGGGGATGTACTGATTAGTTTTTGGTGGTCATGGGTCAAAGGTCAAGGTTGTTGTGACCTTTCATGCATCTAATTTTCATGAACACAATGTCTCAAGAACAGTTAAAAGGGAATTTCTTCAAATTAAGCACAAATGTTCACTTGGACTCAACAATGAACTGAATAGTTTTTGGTGAATAAAGATCAAGGTCACTATGACTTTGTCTGTCTCATTCTCGTGAATGCAGTATCTCAACGCATGGAGGGATTTTTTTTTTTTTTTTTTTTTTTTTTTCTCAAATTTGGCACAAACGTCCACTTGGACTTGGGGATGTACTGATTAGATTTTGGTGGTCATGGGTCAAAGGTCAAGGTTGCTGTGACCTTACATGCATCAAATTTTCATGAACACAATGTCTCAAGAACAGTTAAAAGGGAATTTCTTCAAATTTGGCACAAACATTCACTTTGATGATGTGTTGAACAGATTAGATTTCGGTGGTCAGAGGTCAAGTCTTTTTGACCTCATCTGTCTCATTTTGTGAACGTCATATCTCAAGAACACCTTGAGGGATTCTGTCCAAATTTGACACAAATGTTCACTTGGTCTCAACAGTGAACTGATTTGATTTCGGTGGTCAAAGGTCGAGGTCAGTAGGACCTTGCATTTGTCAATGCAGAGCCCCCACCATAGGTACAGTATTGATTAGACGCAGAAGTAATATCCATACATCCTAAAGGCCTGTTGATTTTAGTGATTTAAATAGCCCAGGCTATTCATTGAAGTTTTACAGTATACCAGGATTCAAATGTTCAGCATGTAGCAGGGTTACAGAGTTTAGATGCACTCTATACAACACAATGATTACACCCAGTTGCTGTATATCTGTGTTGGCTGCGTAGCAGCACGTGCTGAGAACACAGGCCTGCGTTCCCTCGTGAAAAACTATATTTCAAGGCTTGTCTTCCCCTCACAGCTGTGCTATCATGAAACACACACACAGTAATGATGAGTGGGCCCCAGATACAGCACGTTTCCTAGCAGCAGCTGAAAGAAAGTAGCAGCAGAAGATAATCTTCCCCCCCCTTTTTTCCTCTTTCTCATCCTCTTTCTTCCTCTTGCGTTTGACAGAGAAAGGCCAGTACGTTCTTTGTTGTGGCTAGAGGGCTTTGAGAGCAAGAGAGGGTCTGTGATAAGGCCTCGCTCAGCCTCTCCACTCAGAGCTCCAGTAATGTTGGCCTTGGTTAAAGAACACAACAGTGTCATCAGGGATGGATGGAGATAGGAAAATACAAAGACAACAGTCTTTCTTTTAATACCAGAGAAGCTGACTACCCTCTACTCCTCCTCTTTCATCTCCTCCTTTCCTTCTATCATCTCCTATTATCTCCTCTCCTTTCTTCTCGTCTCATCTCCTCCACCTCCTACTCATCTCCCCTTGTCTACCCCACCTCCTTTCCTTCTCTCATCTCCTCCACTGCTCTCTCTCCTCTCATTTTAACGTGGCTGCCTCAAACAAATGGCTCTCATTATCACAGCGAACAGTGAATCAAAGAGCAGATTGGCCCACTCCCGGCTTTGCAGTGATGCTATTTTATATGTGCAAATTATCTCCACAACAGACTGCTGATATATTGGGAGCAGTAAAGCCTATAAAGGGCCTGCAGATGGGTTGGTGCATAACAACGTGGTCTCAGGTCTTGAGAATTAAACTCATAAATGGGGCCGTCTAATTTAGAAAATCTTAAAAAAAAAATGTTCTCAGACCGATTAACATGAGGAAATAAACCAACATTCAGGAGCCTGAGGCTAAAAACACACCTCACGTGTCAGTAAACACGTTGGTGCTACCTGGGTCTGAATTTACTTGAACAGTTAGGTCTAATAAAGTGCCATTAAATCTTACAAGACTTATCTTATTGTATCTTTTAACTTTGTTTGTACTGGCTTGTTCTATCGTCTTGTGTAATGAGAGGTATCAGCTTTACATGGTGTTTCTCTCACAGCTCTCACGGCATAATTTGTAGCAACAGCAGGCAGCTGTTTTCAGGGAAAAGCTTGAATAACCCACCGTACTCTACCTGCTCAGGACCAAACAGCAGACAGACACAGTCAGAGACTAACTGGTGGACATCAAGAGACAGAAAGGAGTTCGAGGAGATCAAAAACAGAGATAAAAGAGAGTGAATATTGGACATGTTTGCACAGGAGGTGTTTCAGGCAATCTTCCATTTGTCCATCACACACTCGTATAATGGAACAGATGCACATTCTGTGCATATGTTGATATTTTTGCTAATTGTGATGTCATTTCCTGGAGTATTGTCAAATGCTTTATATCCCAAAAATCTGTACAACCAGAGCTAAAAGGTTATGTACGTCAATAAATCATAATAACTGATGACAGTATTGAAAATAGTTGATAGTTTCATCTGCAGTAGAAATATTTCCCCGGTGCCTACACTGCTGTTTTCTGGTATTTCATATCTCTAAAATCTGAACAACCTAAAAGCTAAAAGGTTATGTGAATCAATAAAGCATAAATATGATAAAAGTATCCAAATTCTGTCATAAATTAAAAACAAAAAATACAACAGACATTTCTATCGACCTGCTCCTCTGCTCCTCTGGTGCCACCGCACGTCTTCACCACCTATTGGATCGCTTGTAGCATAACGTAATGACATCATCGCAAGTAGACAATGTGATGATGCAAAAGACCGAAGTCTTAGCTTGCTGCTGCTGCTGCAAAAAAAAAACACTATCTATGTTAGTGATTGTTTTAGATTGATTTTAAACAGGATCGGGACGATGCTTTGGCATCATCGCTCATTTTCACCGTCTATTGGACGGGTTCTAGCATAACATAATTACATCATCGCACACAGACAACAGGATGGCGCGAAAGACGGAAGTGTTTGCTATCAGTTGCAAAAAGAATGAACACTCTAGCTACTGTATTTTTTTGTATTATAGATCAATTTTAAACAAAATCATGAAAACAACAGCCCCCTTCAGCAAACCTGTAGAAGGTCCATTTTCAGAGAATGAATCAGTCCAGCTGCCTACACAAGCCTTCTAGCAGCTTGTGCTATGTGTGTGTGTGAATGCACTCCAAAGAGTATTTTTACGCTTCAGTCTATTTTCATCTGTTTTGCACACATAACTAAAGTTATTGTGTGTTGAGCACTGATGTGACGCTTATGCTGCTCCTCATGTGTCCACACAGAAGGTGGCCAGAGACACAACCCCAAATTAATGATGTTTTGTGGTATATGCTTTGTAGCTGCTGGACGTGTAAATAGGCAATTTGCCATATCAACTTAAAAGGTGATAATATGTCAGTTTTGTGTTCATATGTTTCCACTGCCCCCACGTGGCCAAAAAGTCAAATATTGCGGGTTAATTCTTTGTAGTGATGGCCAAATGAAGCCTCATGAAGCATTTTCTTTACTTTCTGAGCCCACTAGATGGCGCTTTTTGTTGAACAAAAGGTTGAAAGCACACTGAATTGCCATTCTCTGAGCCTCTCTTTTTAAACCATGAGCGCCATCTAGTGGGCTCAGAAAATAAAGAAAATGCTTCGTGAGGCATCATTTGGCCATCACTAATTCTTAGGCTTTCTTGAGAGTACACCCTCAAATGTCCAGTCCTGTATTTTGAGTCTCTTTATCTACAACAAACCAAGCAGCAACCTCTGAGGCAAAAAAATGAGGCCAATGGGAAAGCGCCACAAACTGCAGTTCGTTAAATGGCCACTTGAGGCTGACTCCAAAACAGAGTGAATCCCCAGAGACCCCCATGTTTAAATGCCCAACTTTCCAACAGAAATAAACATGTTTACATCCTGGTACCAAAAACAGTTTTGGTCTCTGTATCAAAGTCCCACATGTTGAAGTATCTTTAGGCAAGATAATGAACTCTAAACTGTGTAAGTGCTGTGTCCTGACGATAGCATAGGTCGTCCCCTAATCAGAAGATCTGCAGTTCGATCCCGGCTCCTTCAATCCGCATGTTAAAGTATCTTACACTGTGTAAGTGCTGTGGCCTGGAGGTAGAATGGGTCGTCCAATAGTCAGAAGATTGGCACTTCAATCCCCGCTCCTTCAGTCATTATTATGGAAGTATCTTCAGGTGAGATACCAAGCCCCAAACTGCCTTCCACTAATCCAAAGATCGACATTTTAACCACAGCTCCTTTGATCTGCATGTTGAAGTATCTTTAGGAAAGATACTGAACCCTAAACTGTGTAACTGCTTATGAATGCACTCATAGCCATAGCAAGTCCATTTAATTATTTTGCCGAAAGCTAAATTTCTGTCTGCTGTCGTTTGCATGTGTGGCCTGCATGGGGCAGAGCTCTGGTGTAGGAGGGCACAACAAGAATCTGGCAGGGTGCAGCTTATTCCAGCACCCCTCTAGATAGTGGCCTGAGAAGCAATGAATGAATGCTTGGGAACAGAGACCTTAAGTGATCCAGTATTTGCAAAATTACTGTATATTTTGTGCTCACTTCCTTCTAGGCTAAATGCGTATATATTGGCTAATGTCTTTTATTAGTTAAAGCATGTGTAAAACACTGTTTGTCCCAGTTCAGTTGGGGTGTGGCTCATGGAACAGAAACATGATTGTCTGTTTGTGGTTAATGACTTTTCTCAAGTTTTACGACCCTCCATTCAAAGTTCCCAGGTTGCACTGCTCTGTAGGATATAATGGACTGCAGAGGACTCCAGCCCTCAGAGTTTCTGTGGATCTCCTCTTTGCTCAGCCAACTTGAAATTGGTTATTTCATTTTGAACCTCAAAACCACATTTTGCTCCTTATTAGAGGAGCTCATGCAACACCCACATCCATCATAGTTACAGTAGCGCCCCCAGGGAAAAGTCAATACACACATATGTGACCTACATACTTGGGTTACTCATTTAATCAGGAATCTCTATCAGTCCTTGAAATTCAGTTACACACATTTCTGTCCTCTGCTGGGAGACACTTGTGTGGGGTGTGTGTGTGTGTGTGTGTCACTGGGCTGTAGGTTATTTTCATTTATGTGCGTGTGTGTGTTATAGGTGGTGTGTGTGGTCCATAACTTCAAAGGCAAGTTACTGCTGAGCGAGGAGTCACCAGCGGAGCAGCGGCCCAACACAGCCATGCTGAACATGGGCCGGATGGAGAGTCCTCTGGAGAAGTACATCGCCTCACAGGTCAGCACAGCTCACCTGCGCTCAATAATAATAATACACACCTTTTTCATGTCCTGGATAAAGTCTGATCGCCCATTTATGCTGAAATACTGTACGTCTGTATAAAGTGAACTCTCGGTTGATATTTTTGTTCGAACTTTTATAAAGCTGCTAATGATTTGAGGATGATGGCAGCCTTAGTAATATTCCATTGTAAAATTTGACAGTTTTCATGCAGTCATACAGTTGTGTTTTGTCACACGTACAAATTCAGATTGCTGAAGTATAAGAAATTAGAAGCCGAGTTTTAGACGATACAATACAATATGATATATTTGCCTTGGACTCAGGAGCTGCAAGTATTGCTGCTTTACAATAATAGTCCAGAGGAAATGAAAAGCAAACACCATAAAAAAGCAAATATAAAAAAGCATACTACAGACCTGATTGGCTGCCTCCATTTTGACGTTGTGTTCACACCGAGTGCAAATAAAACAATTTGCACGAGTGAATTACATGTAAAGTCAATATATAGAGGCAATTAGACACGAATTCCTGCCGGGCAGCATGATGAATGTGATGTGAATGACGCAAAATACATTAATTAAGCAACATGATTAAAGTGAGCAGTGTGATATCCAATAGCCAAAGCACTGAGATCCTCCAGGGATGTGTGATGCCAGGGATGTACCGGTGGAAGTTCGTTCATTGAATTAGCGATCTTATGTGTTTAACGCAAGTTATAGTCAGCACAAATACTCTAGCATTCAAACTCGAAACGTTTAGCGTGAACACAATATCAGTGATTCAGAGCAGCAGTGTTGTGCTCACTGACAGCTGTTTCTCCCATTGGAAACACTCGGCCAACCAGAGCTTTTGACAAGATTAAGAGTCAGGATGTTTCTGTGCCAGAGCATTAAAAAAAGAAAGAAGAATTCTCCCTGCGTGTTTAAACAGAACACAAAGCAAATTCTGGAGGTGATGTGATTGCATACAAAGACAATGGACATCCAGGGAGGCACAAATTGTTGTAGACATTCGGAAAGTGTCTCCGCTTAAGCGAAGAGACATGTTTACACAGCACTAATAAAATAACTTCTGACAGTCAAAGTCCTGACATTTGATTTGGCAGCACACCTTGAAAGGTTGAATGTGAAGTGACAGGTGTCAGCTACAATCACTCAGGATATTACACATGATGCTGCTGTCAGTATTCTTAGCACAATACATTGTAGGTGGTTTCACCTGCCAAATCGTACCACTAATTTCCACAGGAAACATTAAAAATAACACTAAATAAAAATAATTCATAGAGATAAAATTCACAAACACCCAACAGAAATTTTAAGTGATAAATAAAACTTAGAAATATAGTTTAACATCAAGAAATAATTTACTCTTTTACAGGAGCATACTGCTAAATCACAGTAATCTAATGTACAGAAACTGTAAAGTTACATTTAAATTCAGTTATTTTTCTGGAACTGCTAAATCACAGTAATATGCAGGTGTAACTGCTGTGAGATCACAGTACACAGCTGTCACTTCACAGCCGTTTACTGTTAAAATGACAGTAACTTACTGTGAAAGTGATGCAACTATAGTAGCCAGTAATTTACTGTAAATGTACAGTTATTTTACAGTGTAGGTATACTTTGAGAAAATTCCCATCTTGATCTAACCCTGGTACAGAGCATGCATTTGTGTTTGTATTTACATCATGTATGGATAAAACTGAACGCTAATATGTTTCTATATTTTAGCCTTTGCTCATCTTTTCAGTTCTTCTTGAGCTTAACACCAACCATTAGTTCTAATAATATAGAGTACAAGTAGCAGTGTCTAAATTTTAATGACACACTTACACACACACTGCTGCTGTAGGAGACGGATGATGAAGATGAAGAGCCTTCCTACATTAAGGAGCGCGTCCTGGCCTTCCTACACTGGCTGCAGGGTCTTGACTGGTTCCAGCGTCTCAGAAAGAAAAGGCAACAAACTGTGAAGTGGTTTCAAACCTGAGTTCTGACAAATCTCTGGACAAATCTTCTCTACTTTTCTTTTTAGTCCACATTTGAATTAGACGAATTCGATTGGCTGATATTGTTGTGTAAATCAGGTCCAGCCTCTGTCCTGTTAGGTTTGTGAGATACTGGAGTGTAACTTTCAGTGTACATGGTGGTTTCTATCCACCACCATGAGGGTTGGGCATCGTCTATTGAATTAGCATATGATGATGTCCACAGTGAAACATTCTGATGTGGCCGGGTGCCACAGAGAGATGGGCGCATGACTGACAGCCATTTGCTTTGCAATAAAACCAACAAGCCAGGAAACTGAATGACGTGTGAAATTTGGAGGTCAGGCCAGTGGTTCCTAAACATTTCATGCCACATCCACCGTTGAGGCTAAAAACTGTCACTCCAACAAGTAAATCAATTGCACTTGTATCAACTAAAACAGCTAAATCGAATTTTACGGAGATAACACCACCATGAGCATGAACTGTATATTTCTATACATGCTTGTTTCTCGTTAGTTTATATACAAGGCTCTTCTGCTGTATCGGCATCCTTCGGATTAGACTTTATTTGTTTGTTTGTTTGTTTGTTTGTTTTTATGCCAAGCCAGCGATAGCCATGGCTGGAGTCATTATGTTTTCGGGTTGTCCACCTGTCCTTCAGGGAGTTTCCTCATATTTGGCACAAACTTCTAATTGGACTGAAAAATTATCTAATTCAAATTTGGTGGTCTAAGGTCATAGTCACTGTGACCTTGCATCTGTTTCATTCTCATAAACACAGTATCTTAAGAAATCCTTGGGGAAGCTTCTACAAATTCGGCCCAAACATCCACTTGGTCTCAAGAATGACCTAATTCCAATTTGGTGGTCTAAGGTCAAGGTCAGTGTGGCCTTGCACCGGTCTCATTCTTGTGAACACAATGTCTCAAGAAGACATTCTGGGAGTTTCTTCATATTTGGCTCAAAATGTCCACTTGGACACATGAATTAACTAATTAAAGTTTGGTGGCTTAAGGTCAAGGTCACAGGGACCTTGTGTCCGTCTAATTCTCATGAGCACAATATTTCAAAAGGGCCTTTGAGGAGTTTCCTCAAATTTGGCCCAGATGTTCACTTGGACTCAAGAATGTACTAATTCAGATTGAGTGGTCTAAGGTCAAGGTCACTGTGACCTTCCATCAGTCTTATTCTCATGTACACAATATTTCAAGAAGGCCTTCAGGGAGTTTCTTTAAATTCGGCTTGAACATCTACTTGGAGTCAAGAATGAACTAATTCAAATGTTGTGGTCAAAGGTCAAGGTCATTGTAACCTTATAAAACCTTCACACAAATGTCTAACAGAATAAAATAATAAAATGACAAAGTTTTAATCCCCAAGGTCAAAGATCAACTTCACTGTGACATCATAATATTCTGCATAAAACATTTCTGGCCATTACTCAACCTCATATCTCAACATCAAGAACGCCTTCGGGGAGTTAATTGAAATTTGGCCCAAATGTCCACTTGAACTCAAGAATGAGCTAATTAAAATATGGTGGTCTAAGGTCAAGGTCACTTTGACCTTGCGTCCGTCTCATTCTCGTGAACATAATATCTCAAGTTGTCCTTTGGGAGGAGTTTCTTTAAACTGCACTCAAATGTCCACTTGGATTTAAAAATGAACTAATTAAAATTTGGTGGTTTAAGGTCAAGGTCACTGTGCCCTTCTGTGTGAAGTATCCATGTTTTTACGGACATGGATGTAAGCTGTTACTGCTACTTATCTGGTGCGTGTAGGCATATAACTGTAAGGTGCCTGCACGTATTAATCTGTCCTGATGTACGCGTGATGTCAACAACAAGGACCTTTGTTAATGACAATCTTTTGTACATGTGTTTTAAATACTATGAAGCGAGCAGGACTAATCACAGAGCTGCTCATGTTTGGAGCTCACATACTAAACAAAAGTGCGGGATAGAATGAGAGAGATGCATCTGCTCTCCTTCCTGGACTGCATCCTTCTGAGACGTGTGCTGTCATTAGAAGGACTTATGGTGATGTGGTCACAGAGTGTTAGAACAGTGTGTGGCCACAAACATGCAGGATTAAGCACCACATGGCAGAAGATAATACACATGAAGTGTTCACTCTGAGTGCCTTGAAAAGCTCCATTCTAAAGCAAATAATCAGGATTACACAAGTTTTCCCAAAGCCGACTAAAACCAGATCATCATCCCACTGTAAGGGTCTGCATTTCAAAATTTGCAACAGTGGACTGAATGAATTAGTGAACAGCAACATCAAGACAGGTAATTATAGTATAAATTATAGGGCTATATGTGTCTCTGAGATTCAGACATAGCCACATGTTTCTTGTTCACGCACTGGAACTCTGATCCAACTTGTAAACTCATGTTGGTTAACGCCAGACTGAAGCTGAGCCCATGAGTCCTGTGTGCTTGGTATGTTTCGGGTGTAAGATGCAGTTGGTCGTTACAGTAACTTGATTATTCAAAGGAATGCTAAAAGGATAGGGTTACAGTTTTTCAAAGACCGTCTCAATACAATCGCATGTCCACCGACTGTCTGTATGAAGGTGATTTCCTGGTCGGAGGTCAGATGCAGCGTGGAGTTATTAATACTGTGCACCTGCTTTCAGAGGCATTTAACATTAATAACATCACACGATATCAGCCAGTGGTTTCACATCTGCATGTTATCTCAAAATGTGAAAAATATTTGTTGTGTTCTCTTTAAATGTGAAACAAATTTGACAATAAGTGTCACAAATTTTCATAATTTCAACCGTTGTTTCTTTTCGTTCCTATAACTTTATATTCTCCAAGTTAAATGGTGAGATCTGGGAACATGGAAATGTCTTTAAAGGTGCAGACACACCAAATAGCGGCGATGAAAGCCAACTGTTGCGTCGTCTACGTCGCCTCACGTCGCCCTGTGTCAGTTGCATTTGAACACACTACACGGACTACATCCAACGGCCAAGTAGCACGTA